GCACCAGGGCCCACAAAAGATTAATCTGTCCCTGTCGGAATTGGGACTGTATCCTATACCTACACAATGACCCTGCAAACTCTCCCTCAGGGCCTCCTAGATGCGCACAAACCCCAATAGGGCTGATGTGTACCCTGTGTGACTGATCAGAGTCCACAGATGGAGCTGTTTTGTGAGGTTTTGGCCCTTGAAAGACTGCGAGATCACAAGAAAGTGAGAGATCATGATACTACCATTATGTTGAATCAAAATCGCCAAGGAACACAAGACCTTGTCAGATTTTAGCAGTCTCCATATTAAAATTGGAAATATGGTTGCCAGATGTCTGGTTTTCAATTAGAATATTTGGGCAAAAGAAATCCTGGTGGCTCCTGTCAACACTGTTTACTGGGTTGTTATAAGTCTTGATGGCAGCACAGCAAACCTAGCAAGCTATACCCAGCTCTCAGGAAGTTACCAGAATTTTCTTCCAGCTCCTAGGTGGACAGGTACCCATGGGGGGCTCAGTGTGCTGCCTCATATGAGTGCCAGGGATAGGGCATCAGAGAAGGGTCAGGGCAGGAGCAGAGCAACGGTCCTCAGTTTTCTGCAGTTATAAAGCTGGAAACCCTAACTGGAAAATATGCTCCTCCAGAGATTTGGTTCTGGCTTTTGTCAATTTGTGAACCACTGAATTCTGGAATGGGTTCAGATTTTAAAGTTCAATTTTGTCCCATCCCTGATGTACACTTTCCAATGAATGGTAGAAACCTAAATACTGAAGTTGAATCCTAAACCTAAAGAACTCAAACATAAACAGAAAAAAGAGAGGATTTATTTTTTAGCAAGTTAAATTCTAAAACTTTGTATTTATTAATAAAGTATGTTATTAACTTGCAGGTGTCATTTGCAAACAACAACGGAAGCAAATATTTTTGTTACATGATGATTTTTTCCCTCTTGTTCTACTGTCTGCACTGGCAGTTATAGTTATTTCAAATGATCAGTATCAAACAACTAAACAAAATATCTGTTGAATTAGCATCCTTACTACAGAAATAACATTCTGTGAAATACTTTGGGAGGCAACATTTTATAAATTTATTGTAACTATTGCATACAGATCTGTAAACAGTCCACTAAATAACATGATAGTTGATTGTGACTGATAATATTTTAAACATTGTGGTAACTGACAGTCACAATAAGAAGTATGAACACAATGAAAGTCAAGCAATCTTACATTAAAGGAAGCATAGTAAGTGAGGGAAGAGTATTTCAATTAGATGTCAAAAATAGCTTCATACAACTGAGAGAAAGTGAAATGCTTTAGTATTATGGTTCTCAATTTAGGGAATAAGAGGAGCTGGGTAAAACTAGTCACTGATGGAGGGAAGAAATCACTGTTAGTTAACAATGATGTCAAAAACTCACATAGGGCCCTGTTTTTGCTACTACTTGAAGCCCACCAGAGCAAAATCAAACCCTGATGATGTCTCTGAAATCAATGTATTATTTGTTCAGAATTCTATTCCAAAAATTCCAGTTGTCATCAGAACTGCAGGATATTTTAGCTATCTTCAAAGGCTTTGATTTGGCAGATGCCAGTCACACAGTGTGTGATAATGTTTCATTTTACTGCATTATAGATCACTAGATCTGACTGAAAATTTCCTGTCAACTGTTTCTTAGTGACAAATTGTGATATTGATGGAATGAAATTTGTCATGCAAAATGTCTGGATTCCGTAGAAAATTTCAACTTTTCATTGACCTCTGGAAAATTTAAATAGTTTTGACCTTCACTCAAAACACACAATATTTCAGAAACTCTGTTGCAGGGCCACAGAGGAGTTGTATTTCAGGTACCATACGTTCCTATTCTCCTCTATGAGCCAGGCTTCTGAAACACGTTTTCTCCTTTCACTCACTACAGCCATGAGACTCTCCTGATGAACTGTGAAGCTTACCAAGAGGGGAGCCAATGCTAAATCAAGGGAGTTGCAATCTGGCTCAGGAGTCTAGCCTATAGCAGAGGATGGATCATCTGAACTACAACTCCTGTCAGTCTCCAGAGTAGTTTTCCCAAACAACAGTAGTTTAGTTCTGGGGCAATATTCTGCTTTTTAGAATTTTCATTAAAACTTAAAATTATCAGTAGAAAATCGACAAACTTTTTTTTCCATTTTATCTAACTTTTCTGCTGAAATAAAAGTATCTGACCAGCTCTAATATATATAACTTACTAAGAACTTGTGCTCTATTAATACCTTTATCCTTCATTTTCAACTGCTCCACTTGCTGACCTTTTTTGACCCTTGCTTGTATCATGCTGAATTTATACTGACCCAGTCTTCCAGTGTTTTTTTCATCTTTTTCTGAGAAGCTCTTAGCTTGCTATTGGGTGGTCTGTGGAGAAAACAATGAGTTACATACATTCTGGATTATCGACATTACCTCCTCCCAAATAACCCAAATGTATGATTTTTCTAAGTTTAGGTTTAAAAAAGAAAATGAAAGGTTGCCTCCATCTGTAGTTTACATAGAGTAACTTGTACAATCAGATGGAGAAAGGTCAAAGGCCAATGTAAATTTTCACCACCTTTTTAGACTTCAGTTCCTGAAATCATTCCTTTTTAGTGATATGTCTTTACCCCTAGAGACAAGCTCTCTTTGCTCTCTTTCGGAGAGATGAAGGGTTAGGATAAGGTAGGTAGCTCAACTGTTTGCACTGAAATTTTGATGATGGTGCTTTATGATCTCTGATGTATGAGAACATTTTGAATGCTGGCAAACTCTAAAAGTCCCAAGAGCCACTAGAAACCCTAAGAGCCACTAGAAGCTTTAATCTGCTCCACTTTCTCAGAAAGCCATTCTTATTTAATGCTGCTGCCTGTTTTAAGCATCTGAACTCCAGGAGTCTGGCCTCTCTGCTTGCTAGGGCAGGACTAACAAAAATAAAGCGACTTTATAGATTTTGACAATTTTAGTTAGCTAGCTTTGGATATTGCAGCTGTGAAACTACAGATTCAGTCTGTTCACTTAATGAGGAGAAGAAATAAAATCTGTTATACACAGCTCTGCAGATGAAATGCTAGAGGGGATTTCTATTGAACGTATTTGCCCCAAATGTGTGTGGCTTTCTTCCTTTCATAACATCTCCTTTTGTTGGTCACTCTACAACTCTAAAACCTTCTTACCTTGCAGTAATGTACATATTGTATCCTCAGTGAATAGAAGTTTCTCATTCTGAATCGCTGAAATACTGTACATTCTCTAAAGCCGTGGTCACCAACCAGTAGATCGCGATCTACCGGTAGATCTCAGGGGCTCTAAGAGTAGCTCTTGAGCCCTCTCTGAACTGTGCACCTGCACAGTACATTTACATTAGATTTCCTCATGTAATGTAGGCGGGGCTTCAAGGAAGGGGCGGGGCAGTAGATCTTCGCCTGTTCTGAGACTTAAAAAGTGATCTTGGGTGTAAAAAGGTTGGAGACCACTGCTCTAAAGGGAAAGATCTCTACAGATGTGGTTTTAAACCCATTCTGAAGAACACTATAAGGCCTGGTCTACACTAAAGGGTAAAGTTGACTTAAAATACGCACCTCCAGCTGGAGTCAAAGTATCTAAACTGTGTTTGGTGCAATCCACACAGTGGGAGGTCTGCAGGGGCATATACTCCTGTCAACTTTCCTTACTCCTCTTGAGGAGCAGGACTACTGGTACTGATGGGAACGCCCTCTCAGTTTGAACTAGCAGGTCTTCACTAGACCTGCTAATTTGAACCTCAGAAGATCAACTATGACAGTGTCGATTGTCTCCATAGCATAGACAAGCTCTTTATGTCCACCTTGTCAAAGCACTAGGACAAGCTACTTTGCTAAATTCTGTCTGAAATCAATAATAAACTGACTCTTTTGTGAGTCATCTGTGCCCAGATTTTTTAGCTTTGTATTCATGTCGTGTTTTATGCGCTTCTAAAATGTTACAAATCACAATTTGTAGTTTTGTGGGGACCAGCTAAAAAGTTATACACATACAATTTCACACTCCCTAGAGACCACTGTCCTGCACATATTCTTTGTCTTGTAATTTCACAACTTTTAGGTTACACTGCATGATCATATATATAATAGCCTAATGTCTGTGATTCTGTAACGCTGAAATGCTGGCTGTTCACTCTGGGTGGCACTGTTGCCTGAGTCACATCCTTTGCCTCCCGCCAAGGTGCTCAGCTGACTTCTGCACCACTCAGCAGGGCCGCCACAGAGGAGCAAGCGGCGCAAGTGGCCGTTTGGGCTCCGCAGTCCCCCGAGTGAGAGGCAGGAGGGGGAGGAGAAGAGAAAGAGAGACAGAGAGAGAGGCAGTAGGAGGAGGAGAGAGAGAGAGAGAAAGAGAGAGAGAGACAGAGCGAGAGACCAGAGGCTCAGGAGAGAAGACCGACATGTAGGAGAGACCTGAAAATCCTGTCTAAATACTCTGAAACATACTAGTTATTTCAGAACAAGCTATTCTGGAAGAAATACTCTGAAACAGCTTATTTCGAAATAGCATGTCCACACTACAGGGAAGCCTGGAAATTAGCCCAATGCAGGCACCCCTAATGTGGATGCACTGCCTTGATTTAGAGCCCCATGAACCACTGGGAAGTAATTACCTTGAATGACCTGGGGGGAGGAGCTATTTCAAAATAGCAGCAATGGAGCATCCACACTCAAAATAGCTATTTCAGAAGAGACGTTATTCCTCATGGAATGAGGTTTACCAATGCCAAAATAAGCCGCCTGTTATTTTGAATGTATTTCAAAATAATGGGCTTGCTGTGTAGACACTCACAGAGTTATTTCGTAATACTGTCCATTATTCCAAATTAACGCTGCTGTGTAGATGTACCCTTAAAAACTTCCATACCTTTACTTGGAGTTAAGTTGAGAGTGAACTGGGATGAATATTCTTCCTTGTTCAAATAAATTAATTAGTTGAATATTAATATTATACATGCACACATACACATGACTATGTTCCATTAAGTGCTAGGGGAATTCTTTTCATTTCTGCTCTCTTTTCTCCTTAGGAGGGAGGCACAGCCCTAGCAGGACTGGGAGCATAGGAACAGGGAGCACAGCCCTGACTGGGACCTGGAGCAGAGCAGTCAACAGCAGGATCAACAGCCGAGAGAGGAGCTTTGACCGCTCCTGGTCTGGAAAATTCCATGATTCAGGACTGCTCATGATTTGAGGATGCTGGATCAGGATTCTTTAGCACAAAAATGCCTCACAATAATACAGTTGTACCTATGTGGGAAGGGGAATAAGATATGGCAATGTAAGTAGCTTTCTACTAGTATAAATGAGTCCATAACAGGAGTTATATCTATATAACAAAATCATTTTTTAAATGTTACACCCTAACCAAAATTGTGTTTAAACAAGACCTACGACATCATTTTTTAAATGTTACACCAAAATTGTGTTTAAACAAGACCTACAATAATTTAGTTTAGGTTATTATCATAAGCAGTCGCACTGAAGTCTGTGAGCCAATCTCAGTCTTCCTCCATTTTAACTGTAAAGCCTTTAGCACTTCACCCTGTAGAATTAGTGGAATGTGTAATGACTTAATCAAGGGTGGGGGAAGTGAGGAGTGAGATGCTGGCAGTGGGAGGCTGATAGAATTTCTGGGTCCCTGGTCAAGGTGTGGGAGTGGGCGGGGGCAGTTCCATGCTCCCAGAAGGGACAGAGCCTCAGATGGAAGGAGCAGGGATTGGGAATGCCATTTAGAGCTCAAGCAGCTATTTAAAGGGCCTGGGGCTCTTGGCTACTGCCATCACTACTGCTTTTCTGTTTCCTGAGGTTTTGATTGTTAACAAATATTAATAACAGTCAATACCTGGGAAACTGAATGGTTCAACTGAATGACAACTGGCTTTGAAAGACCTGATTCTCTTTTGCCTTGTAAATGGAGTGGGTATTTACAACTGTGCAGAATGAATGTAAAAGAGACTCTGGCTGAAGAACCACCTGGGCTGCGGGCTGCTGTCTGAGATCCGCCCAGATAAACCCCTGCCAGCCAGACTCTGCCTCTGGCACCCTAGCCCTTCCCTCTCCCAGTCCTCTGCCCACCTACTGAAGCCCTACCTAAACCAAACCCTCTGCACCCCTGCTCCTGCACCCATATCTCCTCCCAGACCTTGCACCTCCTCTTACAGCCCTTCTCCAGGTCACAAACCCCTCATAAACCTTGCATCCCAATTCTCTACACCTGCTCACTACCCAAATCCCTGCTACCCCAACACTGCTGCTCCAGATCACAACTCCCTTCCCAGACCCTACAGTCCTCCTGCACTCCAGTCTCCTTCACCCAAACTCCCTCCCAGCTCCCACTCCCTGTCGTGCAACCCTATATCTTACCCCAAGTTCCTTTCTACACCCAGTCTCAATCCCAGATCCCACACCCCCTTCACTAATATCATGGAAGAGTGCAGCCCTTGACCACTTACCAAATTCTTAAAGTGGCCCTCCATCAAAAATTATTACCCATCCCTGGTTTAGAACCCCAAATAATACAGTAAAACTCCGATGGTCCGGCATCTGATGGTCCGGCACTCCTGATGGTCCAGCACCATCAGGAACCCGGAAGTGCTCCGGGCAGCCAGACCATTGGAGCTGCTCTGCCCCCGGCCCCTTCAGCCGC